AGTGTGGTAACCCTGGGGGCACGGGGCAGGGGACACTATCCCTGGGGTGGGGGGGCCTGGTATCCCATGGCCGTGGCAGGGAGCAGGGGGGGCGTATGCTCAGGGTCAGACAGGAGGGGTATCTCTGGGGGATGGGGAGGTGGCAGAGAGTCCCAGGGAAGGGCAAAGGGCCCCCCCGGGGGAGTCATGTTGGGCCCCTTCTCCCCATCAGGGTGGGGTCCCTCAGCCTTGACCAAAGCTCCGAGCCCCCATCACTCCCCCATAAGGTGGGGACCCTCGCAGAGCTCCCTGGGGTGGAGGGCAGACCCCCCATTAATGCTCTGTTCCCCCCCAGCTGTCGGGGCTGGCGCTGAAGGTGGGGATCCTGTACTACGGGGGGCGGCTGGTCACCGCCGGAGCCGTGAGCACCGGGGACCTGGTCACCTTCGTCCTCTACGAGATGCAATTCACCACGGCCGTGGAGGTGAGTGGGGGGGGGCACCTGCCTGGGGATGGGGGCTGTGGGGGGGCACACCCAGCCCTGATCTTCCATGCCCCCCAGGTGCTGCTCTCCATTTGCCCCAGTGATGGGGGGTGGATGGGGGGCTGTGGGGTGAGCTCACCCAGCCTGTATCCCCCTTGCCCCCCAGGTGCTGCTCTCCGTCTACCCCAGCGTGCAGAAGGCTGTGGGCTCCTCGGAGAAGATCTTTGAGTACATGGAGCGGACGCCCCGGATCAGCCCCCCCGGTACGCTGGCCCCCCCGGCCCTGCGCGGGCACCTCCAGGTGCAGGACGTCTGGTTCTCCTACCCCGGCCGGGACGACACCCCTGTGCTCAAGGTACCAGTGGGGGGACCCAGCGCAGAGTCTGGGTCAGGGGTGGGAATTCGGGGGGGATCCAGAGCAGAACCAAGGATTCGGGGGCAGTAGCTGGAGGGGGTATGGGGGGGCTGCAGGGGGGGGGGTCAGGGGGGTCGGCCGGGGGGTCTGGGGGCAGAGCCACAGGGGGAGGGGAGGATGGGGGGTATAGGGGAGGGGTGCTGGGAGCCCAGGGATGGGGGAGGGTCCCCCGTGTCTAACTCCTCTCCTCCTCAGGGGGTGTCTCTGGAGCTGCGCCCCGGGGAGGTGACGGCGCTGGTGGGCCCGTCGGGCGCGGGGAAGACGGCGCTGGTGGCCCTGCTGGAGCGTTTCTACGAGCCCCAGCGCGGGCGCCTGCTGCTGGACGGGCGGGACCTGCGGGAGTACGAGCATCGTTATCTGCACAGCAAGGTACCCCCCTCCCCCCCCCACTTCCCCCAGCATCCCTCCCCCCATCACGACCTGCACCGCAAGGTACACCCCTGCTGTCCCCCCACCTCCCCCAGCATACCCTTCCCCATCGCTACCTGCACCACAAGGTACCCCCCTGCCGCCCCCCCCACTGCTCCCCCGGCATCCCCTCCCCCCATCGCTACCTGCACTGCAAGGTACCCCCCTGCCGCCCCTCCACTGCCCCCCCCCATCGCTACCTGCACCGCAAGGTACCCCTGTACCCTCCCACTCTGCTCAGGTGTCTCCATGCCCCCTGGCTTGTCAATGTCTGGGGCATCGCCCCACCTCCCTCCCTCCCACCACGTAGGGCAGGGATCCCAGACGTTGGGGAGGGGAAGTCCCTGGCTGCAGGACCTTCTCGGGGGGCCTTCTCCAGCCAGCCCCACACTAGGTCCCCGGGGCCCCTCAGCCTCTGTCAGCCCCCTGTTAGTGTGGTGAGTCTGTGCGTTCTCAGCCCCTCAATCTCCCGGCCTCACCCCGGCCCCCAGGTGGCGCTGGTGAGCCAGAAGCCGGTGCTGTTCGCCCGCTCGCTGCACGAGAACATCGCCTACGGGCTGGGGGGGCGCAGCCGGCAGGAGGTGATGGGGGCTGCCCGGCGCGCCAACGCCCACGGCTTCATCGCCCGGCTCAGCCACGGCTACGACACAGGTACTGAGCCCTATACACCCCCTTGGGACCCCTATACCCCTCCCCAGCACCCCAGTACCCCCCGTGACCCCCAATCCCCCTGGGACCCCTATACCCCTCCCCCCAGCACCCACTGGGACCCCCCACTCCCCTGGGAACCTTATACCCCTCCCCCAGTGCCCCCTATACCCCTCCCCCAGTGCCCCCTGTGACCCCCAACCCCCTGTGACCCCAATACTCCTCCCCCAGCACCCCAGTGCCCCCCCGGGACCCCTATACCCCTCTCCCTCAGAGCCCAATATCCTCCTAGTACCCCCAACTGCCAGGACCCCCTATACCTCTCCCCCAGGGCCCCCACCCTCCACAGGACCCAAACACCCCCCACCTCTCATGGCTTCATCACCAGCCTGAGTCACAGCAGAGACACAGGGACTGCACCCCAATACCCTGTGGGACCCCCAAACCCTGGGGACCCAAATCTTCCCCATGGCTACTCTCTGGATACTGACTTCGGGGGGGCACGGGGGGGCCCCCGGTACCGCCTCCATACACACAGGTACCAACACTAGATCTCGTCCCTTCCTGCTCAGGCCCCCGACACCCCCACCTGCCTGGTACCCCAATACTCCCGCAGCCCCATGGCTACGACACAGGGACTGAACCCAGCCCTCCTCTTCCCCCCTGGCCACAGCACAGGTACCAGCCCTGATCCCACCCTGTGACCCCCCCAATAAACCCCCTAGGAACCCCAGAACCCCTCCCCACAGGCCACGACACAGTACCCAGCCCTGCCCCAGGGTGTGTGTTGGGGGGGGTGTAGCTGGGGGGGGGCTACCCAAATGCTGCACAGGGCACTGACCTCAGCTCTCCCCCCACAGACGTCGGGGAGATGGGGGGGCAGATCTCGGGGGGGCAGAGGCAGGGAGTAGCCATCGCCCGAGCCCTGCTCCGAGACCCCCGAGTGCTGATCCTGGACGACACCACCAGCGCCCTGGACACGGAGAGTCAGCTGTGGGTGAGTGATATGGGGGGGCCACAGGTTGGGAGTGAGGGGCAGTGGCAGGGCTGGGTGGGGGAGCCCAGGACTAGCAGGGGGTTGTGGGTTGGGAGTGAGGGGCATTGACAGAGACTCCATTGGCTGGGGCAGGGGTTGGGGGTTGGGGGTTGGGGTGGGAGCTGGTGAAAGGGGGGGTCCCCACACAGCCCCCCCAATCAGGCTGTTCGTTACCCCGGATGTCTGTCACTGCAGGTGGAGAAGGAGATTTATGAGGGCGCCCGGGCCGGGCGCTCGGTGCTGCTCATCGCCCATCGCCTGAGTGCCGTGGAGCGAGCCGACCGCATCCTGGTGCTGGAGGACGGGGAGATCCGGGAGCAGGGCACCCACCGGGAGCTGCTGGCGCGCCGGGGCACTTACTGGCGCCTGGCGCAGAAACAGCTCAACGGGGACGCGGGGGGCAGCTCCGAGGAGGGGCTGGGGGCCGGAGGGCCGTGAGGCTGGGGCCGCGGGGATCCTGCGGGAAGGGGGGTTCTCAGCCCCTTCTGCACGCGTGGCTCCTCCCCAGGGTAGGGGGGAGTTCTCAGAGCCCCCCCCCCATACGCGGCTCCTTCGCCCTGGGGAGCTGGCACAGGAGACAGGACCAGAGGGTGCGCAGGGGGCTCCGTGTCTGGACAAACCCCAGCTCTGAGACCCATTGTGCTGCAGAGAGACGGGGGCCCTCCCCAGCAGGGGGCTGTGCTGGGGGAGCTGAGGGGGGTGAGCGAGGGGCGGCTGGTGTTTGCCTGGTTTGTGTGTAATAAAGTGTCTGGTTTTTCATGTTTCCTGTGTGATCCTTGGTGTGTGCCCCCTCCCCCCCGGCACCAGGTCACCCCAGGGCCCAGCCTCACATCCAGGGGCCTGGAACCCCCTGGGGGCAGGATCCCCCTTAGAACGTGCTGCTGTGTCCCTGCCCTCTCCCTCCCCATGTGCCCTTGGGGGGGTCCCTGCCCAGGGTGGGGGGACCCCAGGGTGCCAAGCAGCCGGTGCCAACTCTGCTGGGTCTGAGCTGGGCAATACCCCGGGCAGGGCTGGGAGCTGTGAACGCCCCGGAGCAGTGCCGAAGGGGGGAGGTGTAATTAGCCGAGCCCCGCCCTGGGAGGGGACGACCCGCGTCAGCAGTTACCAGGCAGATCGGGCTGCACCAGGTTAGAGCGGCCCCAAACCCCGCCCCCTCGTGTGCGCCCAGCGCCGGAGCAGCGCCCCTGGGGGCGGATGGGGGCAGCGCAGGGAGGGTCACACGCCCCCCCCCCACAGCTGCTGTAGGGTGTCGCGCGGACCGGTTCATGGCTGCTGGGAGCCCCCCCCCCGGGGGGTCCCTGCGCCCTTCAGCGCCACATTCCCCGCTGGCTGCCCAGGGCCCCGCCCCAAGGACTTCCCCTGAGCAGCCTGTGCCCCCCCGGGCTCCCCTGCGCCCCCTCCCCCAGAACCCCCCCTGCGCCCTCAGCCCCTCTCCAAGCGCCCCTGGAGCGTACTGGCCCCGCGGCGCCCGTCAGTGCCCAGATGTTCCCTCCCCTAAGAGCCCCCCGCGCCCCTGAACCCGCCAGTCCCTCCCCAGCGCTCCCCCGGGACACCCCCCTGCGCTCTCATCCCCAGCCCGTGCGCCCCTCTCCAGCGCGCCGTGGCCGGGCAGGGCGGGCCGGTCCCTCCCCAGCTCCGCTTTCGGTTTCTCTTCCCCCGGCCCCGGCGCTCAGAGCGGGCGGGAGGCGCAGCGAGGCGGATGGCGCTGTTTGAAGTGTGCGGGGCCCCCCGGGGGGGCTGGGACTGGGCCCCCCCCGGAGCCGCCGCCGCGCCCCGGGGGCCCGACCCCCACAGCTTCGGCCTGCGGGCCCCGGGGCTGGCCCGGGGGCCCCGGGGGTGGGCCCGCCCGGGGGGGGGGGGGGGGGGGGGGGGGGGGGGGGAGAGCAGGGAGAGGGCAGCGCCATGGGAGGCGGCAGTGCCTGGGGGGGGCTGGGGGCAGTGCAGTACGGGGTGGAGGTGGGGAGTGGGGGCAATGCCCTGGGCATGGGGGGCAGGATGGGGCCAGTGCCCTGGTGGTGGGGCAGAGGAGGAAGTTCGTAGGGGTGGGGGGCGGGGAGGGGGTACTGCTCTGGGCATGGGGGGCAGGGCTGGAGAGCCCCCCTCACCATCTCCCCCTTCTCCCCCCCCAGCCGGCCCAGTTCCTGCAGACGTTCTCCGCGGAGGGCCGGGACCGGGTGCGGATCCAGCTGGCGCACGGCACCACCACCCTGGCCTTCAAATTCCAGCACGGGGTCGTCGTGGCCACCGACTCCCGGGCATCGGCCGGCAGCTACATTGGTGAGACACTTTCTTCCTCCTCACGCCCTGCCCTCACACGAGCAGGGGGGCTGGCTGGATAGATGGGGCTGGGTCCGTGGGGATGCTGGGTGGAGGGGTAGAGAGAGAGAAAACTAGTCTCAGTGGGGAAGACTCTCCTGCCACCCCAATATGCCCCTCATCTGTTGGGTGCCCCACAGCCCACCCTGGGGCTCTCTCTACTGGGGGTACTTGGCTAATGGACGTTTGTGACTCCAATTCCTTCCGTGCAGCCGACCTGACCTACAACAAGGTGATCGAGATCAACCCCTACCTGCTGGGCACCATGTCAGGCAGCGCGGCCGACTGCCAGTACTGGGAGCGGCTCCTCGCCAAGCACTGCAGGTGCCCACCCCGATGGGCCCCAGGCCCCGCTCTCGGGGAGGGCAGCGTGGGGCTGCTGGGCAGTTTGGGTGGGGAAAAGGAGGTACAGGGGGTGTTGGGTTTGGTGGGCAGCGGGAATGTTTTGGGGTGCAGGGGGATTGGCGTGGGGTGGGCTGCTTGTGGGGTGCAGCGGGGTGTGTGGGAAGGTGTGGGGGTGCAGAGGGCTATGGGTGTGTTATGGGGGTGCAGCAGGAATTTGGAGGTGCAGAGGGGCATGGGGGCATGTTACAGGATGCAGGGAGTTGTTAGGGGGTGCAGGGGATTTGGGAGCTCTGTGGGGGAGTCCCCGGTGCTCACCCCAGCCGCCCCCCCCCCCCAGGCTCTACGCCCTGCGGAACAAGGAGCGGATCAGCGTCTCGGCTGCCTCCAAGCTGCTGTCGAACATGCTGTGCGAGTACCGGGACATGGGGCTGTCCGTGGGCAGCATGATCTGCGGCTGGGACAAGAAGGTACCGGCCCTCGGCCCTGTCCTGTGACCCCCCCAGCTCCCATACTCCCTGACCCCGTCTCTGAACTCTCCATAGGGATCCCTGCAGCCCCCATCCGCTGTAACTCCATCTCTGAGTCCCCCATTCTGTACCTCTTGACCCTTCCAGTGCCTGAGCCCCCAAGTCCAGTACCCCTTTCACCTTTTTTCTCTTCCACTGCGGATCGTCTCTGGTCCTAATCTCTGGGACCCTCATTTAAACATCTCCCTGCCTCCCCTTGCAGGGCCCCGGCCTGTACTACGTGGATGATAAGGGGATGCGTCTCTCCGGCCCCATGTTCTCCACGGGCAGCGGGAAGCCCTACGCCTACGGGGTGATGGACAGCGGGTACCGGCCCGACCTGAGCGTGGAGGAGGCTTATGACCTGGGGCGCCGCGCCATCTCCTACGCCACCCACCGTGACGCCTACTCCGGGGGCGTCGTCAACAGTAAGGGGAATGGCTGGGGGGAGGGGCAGGGCCCCTGGAGGTGAGTGCCTGGACACCTGGGTTCCATCCCCTCATTCCCCAAGGGTGCTGCTGGGTCTCATAGGGGTGAGCACCCTGTGCTGCTGTCCTGGATGCCTGGGTCCCATTCCCTGTCTTGGTCTCTTTTCAATCCTGGGCCTGGGACCGTTGTGGAACCCCCTGGGGATGAAGGCCGTGTGGGAGACCTGAATCCCATTTTATCTGGGTACCATGAATCGCTCTTGCTGCCCCCTGCTGGCTGACCCTCACTCTCCTGTATCCCACCCCAGTGTATCACATGAAGGAGGACGGCTGGATCCGGGTCGGACGGACGGACGTCAGTGACCTGCTGCACCAGTACGCGGACGCCAAGCAGTGAGATGGGAACGGACCCGACACCCCGCACTCAGGGACCAGCGAGACTCAGGGCTGCAGCGACGGCGGGGAGTGGGAGGGGGATCAGTGAATTGATCATGAGTTTGTGTGTGTGACAAATAAAAAGTGAAATTGAAGGAACTGCAGCTTCTGGTGTTGATTTCATTTGCCGTCCCTGCAGCTGGGGATGGAGTGGAGTCATAAGGGGGGTCTGAAGGTTTGATTAGGGGAGCTGGTTCAGTGATGAAGCTGAAATGATATGAGGGTGCAATAGCAATTCATGGGGGTGATGCACGTTTGGAAACCAGGACACTCCCCCTTCTCTGCCAATACCTGGCAATGCTGACCTGCAGCCCTCTGCTATTCCACTTCCCTGCTGCCAAAATACAACAGAAAGATTCCCTGGAGCAGTCCATCAATTTGCAAAGCCAGGTGGTGATCGGGACAGGTGCAGGAGCTGAGCTGCCAGGGTTGGGGAATGGGGCTGAGGCTGTATCTTGTGTTTGGTACCTGGGGCTGAGCCTAGCTAAGGGCTGTGATGGGGAAGGGGGCTGGAGGCTGGGTGCACAGAGCTGGGCGCTGCTGTATCTGGTACCTGGGGCTGAACTGGGTGGGGCTGGGGGCAGGGACAGGTGCACGGGGCCGGGGATGGGGATGG